AAAGGAATGGAAAGGAAAGGAAAGGAAAGGAAAGGAAAGGAAAGGAAAGGAAAGGAAAGGAAAGGAAAGGAAAGGAAAGGAAAGGAAAGGAAAGATAAAAAGGGAAGATAAAAAAATGAAGAATAAAGACTAATAAACAGCATCAATCTTAAGAACATCGAAGAAAAAAGGAATAATAAAGTTATTGCAGCCAGTGATATGCAAATTTAACATAAAGAGTTCTGACAAAACACAAAATTTGTGGTACTTTTTAAACTTACACAGTGATGATAGCAGATGGCCAGGGGAGTGAGAAAATGTGGGTTCTGGAGCCTACTGCCCGGCTGATCCCAAGCCTGCTGCTTTCCTGCTCCATGGCCCAGGGGCAGTGCTTTGCAGCTGGCATTGATGGGCACTCAGTGCAGACTCTGGACAGTCAGCCCCAATACCCACGAGCTTGTCATCCTTACAACAGGACTTCTAAGTTGTGTACTCTGACCACAGTATCTTCTTCCCATGAAGAAAATGGAAGAAGGGTACCCCGAGGTTTGGAAAATGTGTATAGTTCCCCCTAAATCGTGGAACTATCTTCAGGTGTTGAGCTAATTCAAGACCAGATCTTTCCAGCTTCTGCCCTCTCACCACGCTCATCTCCAAGAGACAAGGAAAGGAAATCTCCACTGGCTGCTCAGCTGGTGATGCCAGGGAATGCTATTCACGGTACACCCAACTTTAGGGAAGATATATTTTAAGGTCAAATGTGAAAAAGAAGGGGCCAAAGGCCACTTGCGCATGTGTAGAAGTTCCCACTCCTCCTAATGGTAACCCAACAGTTAAGATTATGGGCTGTGGAATCAGAAACCGCATGAATAACTAGTGATATTTATTCAACTGTACAAGCCAGGAACAGTGCTAAGATCGTGCAGTGCTCAGAACATTCCTTTCCACAGTTCTAGTCTTGCTCCATAATACAAATTAAGAACCTTAGATGCAGATAAATTAGATTTAAATAGCTAGAAACTGGCAGGGGTGGGATTTCAACCCAGGCTATCTGACTTCAGAGCTGTTTGTCTTATCTTATTCTTAAACTCCTGGGACCCAACTTTCTCATCCATCGATTCTGGATGATCGTACCCACCACACCCTGAACAGAAAATGAGCAAAGAAAATGAGAAAAGGTAGGGAAAACCTCCGTCCAGCAGTATCTGCACGCAGCAAGTGAGGAAGAGCAGGAGGAGAAGACAGTGGGGATGGTGGTGTCAAGATACCTTTGACAAAGATACAGGCCTAAGTGCTCCAGAAAACCTTACTGCATAAAATCCTCCAAGACCTCTTTCCCCTTCTCTCACACAGACTTTCTGTGGACAGATCATTTGCACTGTATGTGAAAGCTTATTTTCAAAATCAAAATCACAGCACTTCACATTATATGAAGATGTGAACAAAAGTATTTAAAAGAATCTGACAAATAAAACTGTAGCTGAGTGAGAGAAGTGTTCACATCACCGGATTGCAGTTAGGTCTAGCCTTGTACTTAATTTTCCACAATTCTTGAAACACTGGTGATCCTGGCAGAAAAGCCTAGTTAATCAGGCAGTGTTTGTTTTCTATGTGTGAGTCGCTGTCGCCATCTACAGTTAAATACGGGGCATGTGACACTGTCAAACCGCGCTAGGAAGAGTCCCAGCAGAAGGCAGTGCCAAGGAAACAGTAGAAAAAGGGTACCTGAAGGAGCAGCTCTTTCTCTACCACCTCCTCCGTCTTGCTGATGAGCCGCTTCTGCAGGGCGTGGATTTTCTGTATCAGCTCAAAGGAACTGGGGTCACTGGCCTGTCCAAGGAGAACAACATTAAGAAAAAAGAGCTGAGATTTCATCAGTTTCAAAGTACTGAGGTCCTGAGTAAAATAAGTACTGTTTTATTTAATAGATTTTTTTTAAATCTATTTCAAACTTGAAGACCCAATACAGAGAGAATTAGAACCAAAAAAGACAATGTATAACAGATAAGATAGTGATAAATATTTGTCCCTCAAGAAAGCAGACTGTAGAATTCCTAGTGTCTTAGCTATGCCCTTAGCTCATGAATGCAAGATGAATAATAACTAATATTATTATTATTATCATTATTATTATTATAACTGTTGTGTTGACCCCTGATTTTTTGCCACCATCCATTTGCTATGCTGAGTGTCTGTCATATAAAATCACATCCTGGCTGCACAACAGCCTCATAAGATAGTGTTAAACTTCCCTTTTTAAAGATAAGATAACTGAGGCTCATTGTATTTGGCTCAATTGCTCAAGTTCGTAAGGATTGGAGCTAGATTTAAGACCAAAATATGCTGGGCCCCAGAGCTGTGGTGCTTCTTTATGATTCTCAGATTTCCCTACCAGCTCCCTATTTCCATAGGAATTGGCCAGGATCCCTAAGTCACTCAACCTTTGGATCCCCCTTTGGTCACTTTCAACGAGAAGGTTCATCACAGTCCACGGTGCAGAAGGTCCCGAGGATTGGGCGTCTGCTGCGGTAATAACTGGCAGCCCAACACGGCCACAGCATCTCCCTCTCAAATGGAGCTATCAACGCACAAAGTTCCAATGCTCCTCCAAAAGTTGTCTGTGTGCGATGTAAACAAGCACTGTGCTTATAAATTGATCATTTGTTCTCTAGACCTTGAGCCAAAGCTTCACTCTGAACTGTACTGACATCTTAAATTAATCAAGTAGCTGAATATTTTCAACTGCCTCCCAGAGTACCTAGTTTCTAATTTTTTAAAACAGAAACTGACATGGACTTGGAAAGTTTAAAGATCTGCTTGAAAACACATGAAATAAACTAAAGTGACGGTGAATGGACTTAAAATCTTCAGCTCCACTCCTCCCGAGAGATCTCTGGGTTAGTGAACTCTGCCACTCACTTTATCTGCAGAGGAATAATGGAGGCAGAAGAGGAGGAGAGGACAGGAGAGGGGAGGGGAAGGAAAAGACATTTCATTGACTGTTCAGCAAACACCCAGGGAGACAACTGATAGCATACATTGGGACTACACTTGGCACTCACTCTTTTGGCAGGACTGTGCGGTGTTGAAACGCAGGCCTCGTGTTTACATAACAATTTATGATGCATTAGCCTTAATGCTTTCTTCATTAAAAAGGAAGAAAAAAGGAAACGAAAACCTGCTTGGCTGGTTCTCCCCCCACTCTGATCTCTCTGGCATCACAGGCTCCTATCCCTCAGCACCCAGCTGTTCATTTAGTAAAACCCCCTTTGGCACCGAGACTGCTCATACAACTAACGGAGAGGACCTCCTTTTCCTTGAACAAGTAGAGCTTGTCTTGACTGGTATGCCCAGTGTTGGTGATAATGTCTATCAGGAAGTCATAAAATATAACATGAAGTTGATTGCCACCCCCTACCAAGGGAACGTTGGCTGTGTTCCCAGATCCTAAGAGGAACGAGTTTGGCTAACATGACCTCAGTCCCTCAAGATGGCTAGCCCACAGAACCACATTTCCTGCAAGCAATGAACAGATGCAAAGGCAAAATGAAAGATAGTTAAGATGCCGGTGGCCAATTCAGCTAAAGGCAATTAACAAGCCAAGACTCACAGGATAACTAGTAGACCAAAAAATCACCCAAACAAGAAAATAAATCCCCATTGGTGAAGCCAATTCACAGCTCTCTCTGAGCCTTTTTCAGCAGAGATTTTGTCCAAGACTTTGTAAACAAACCTCAAATGAACCATCTGGTGTGGAACAACCCAATTTACATTGGATCGAGTCTTACGTTCTAGGTGATAATTTGCGCAGTATTAAGTTAAAGGCACTTCTTACTGAGCTTCAGGTGGGAAGTGTGGGGTGGGGCGGGAGAGGAGATGTGGGGCAGCAAGGGTGTTCTGCCAGGGCTAACCTCAAGCTTCCTCCACCGGTGCACATTCATGGGGTTCTCCAGTTCCTCCTCCAGGGCTCGGCATCGGGTCCTCTCCTTCAGGAACTCTCTCTGCATGTGAAAAAGCTCCTGCCTGAATAAGACAAACTTTCTTTTGCAAAAAAAGTTCTCTGCCCATAGGAATACCATATCTTTAAACGGTTACATACATGCTACCTCTCACATAAAGAGTTGGAATTTGGGAGACTTCTGTGAACACGGAGGTCAGTCTCAACATTTTTGTGGTGCATAAAAACTGCCTTAGGTTTAAACACTGCCACAGAGGCCAGACCTCCTAATCTTGAGGATTAATGGTTATGGAATTTAGAAGCACACACAAAAAAAGGAGGCGAGGAGGTAAATCATGAGAGCTTCGGCATACTTTCCAGGTTGCTAAGTGCCTCTGCGGCAGTAATCTGTGCGCAGCCTCTGCCGTGCCTGCCCCACCTGACTGCATTCCACTGCCACGCAGGTGACCATGTGGCCCCTGAGGACAGTGCACCTCCACCCTCACTGCCGTCATAGTCACCAGGGGGGAATCTGACAACTTCCCTTTGCCAGGATCCAACCCCTAGCAGGAGTCCATGGCATGGAGTCTATGGGTTTTAGTTTTGCGGGGCATTCTCATGTGCAGTCAAGACCTGGGAGGCTATTGTACCTCAAAGTTTACAACTACTGTACAGAGATAGCGGGAAAAGTCCTGGCTCAAACGTACCGCCAAAGTCTTCAGGAATCCTCTAGCTAATGGGTGACGTGCTACAGACATCCTCATATGCTGGCACTGGCCGCCACCCTGTCAATCAAAAGTTCTGCTGGGAGGTAGAGAAGGGGTAAGTGTTTGCACTGATGCATGCAGGGGTTGGGGATTTAGCTCAGCGGCACAGCGCCTGCCTGGCGTGTGCAATGAGGACATTATTATCTGTCCTCAGTCTGCTGTGGATGTGTACAATACTAACACTAAGCCATCTCTTTTACTTAATTGCTTCATTTAAACCAATAATACAACTTCCCCTCATTAGCAAGACAAACCATTAGAATTAACTGCATGATGTTCACTCAACAGGGAGCATACAACAAGCTGCTCAGAATTAAAAGCATATTTTTTAACACTTCAATTTTCCTGAGTGCCATCAGAAGAGGGCAACAAGCATTAGCTACCACATTTGGTGGTTTACTTGGTACTAGATTCAGTGCCAGGCACATTGCATTTGTTTTTGTATTTAATGGCAACAACAAGTCCAAAGTTACAGAAGGTTAGTAATTTGTCCAAGGTCAAAAAGCTTGTAGGTGGCAAGGCTGAGATTAGAATTCATGCCTGCCTGCTTCCAGGCTTCATCAGGTTGTCTTCTCATTGGAGTGAAAAATAGAAGCCATTATCAACAAACTAGCAGTATTGACTAGGAATTGGTAAAATGTTACCCTTTATGCACATCATAAAAATAACTCAGGGTTGACAAGTTTAGTGATGGTCCCAGAGATCATCCAACAGCTACTTAGAATGAATATATTTGTCTCCAAAATGTCAGTAATAGTATCTCTGGATAGTAAAGTTATGCGTCATTTTCCAACCCCTTCTTTATACTTTTCCTGAATTTCCCACATTTTCTACAACATATTTGTATTACTTTCATTCAGTGAAATATAAGCAACATTAGATAGGTAGATGATTGACTGTTAGGTAGACAGGCCCATTCTTGACAGTGGCAACCTCACTATTCCTGGATATACTCATGCATCTAAACAGCAAAACCATCCTCTAATTCAATTAATTGAAAGAGCCTATCTAAACTGTGTCCGTATCCCAAGGCGGTCAAGGAGACTGTGGATCTACAAGTCAGTGGGGAATAAGAAGAGCATCTCAAAAAGACCAGACCTCTGATTTGCTTTCCAGCAATTGCCTACATAAAACACAGCGATGTTTTCCCACGGGGAAAGTAGATCTTGTGTAATGCAAAATTTAAAGAAAGAAGAGGGGCACTAAGCTAAAGTGAAAGCTGCAGAAAATAAATCAGGAGTGAGATATAAAATTTGGTTGCCTTCTAAGAAAACAGATTTTCAAATAGTGATAGAATTAATTTCCATCTCTTTCTCTCCTGTTTGTAATTCCAAGAAAAAGATGTACAAATATTACTAGAATGAAATTTGAATATTAATGCTCCATCTCTTGCATACTGTCTTATTTTTAAAATTTGAAAGAGTTCATTGGGGAAAGAAATGTCTCTGAGCTGCAATGAGTTTGTATTTGTGATTTAACATAAAATTTCCTTTTAAAATTCCAGAATAACTCTCAATAACCTCTTGTACTTATCCACACCCACCAAAAGGAAATCAGCTCACTTTGTGACATAGCATGAGCACAGTATAGATTTTCATGTTCTTGATGAAACTGCATTTGAACATTTTCATGTTCTTGATGAAACATGCAGTTTGCTGGCAGTTTCATCATATAAAAGCCACTTAGTATAATTTTGATAAGGACCTTGAACGACTAAATAATATGAACACAAGGTCACTTTAGGGGCTCCCTGCACACCCCTTGGGTCTCCTCTTACCTGAGTTCCTCCACATTAGCCACACTCTTGGCGAGAATCCCCTTTTCCCGGCGCAGCTTCTTGATCTCCAGCTTGAGGATCCTCATGTCCTCCAGCCTCTGGTTGTACTGGCTCTCGCCTTTGTTCAGCACAGACTGCTGGATCTTGATCTTCTCGTAGAGCAAAGCTAACTCGTCGTTGCGCCGAACAAGTTGAGACCCCAGGATGTCTCTTTCGCTGATGACCTGGAAAGGTGGGAAATGGCATAGCGAACCTTTCATTTCCCAGGACCACTTTCTTCAAGAGACTTTCCAAAGTCTCTTCTTCCAGCATGGTAGACCCCTGATATCTAGCAAATACCCATGAGATGTAGCACCGCAAATAGCCTGCTAGACAGTCAACACCACTCTCCCCATAGAGTCTGCAATCTCCTTAGGAGGAGAAATCACCGGACAATAAATAATCCATGATAGCAACAGTCTACTAACAATAATCCTTGGCCAATGGGTGTGTCGTTTTGTTTGTTTTTTCCAACCCACTTTTAATATTTAAGTTGGAATGACTTTACACATTTCTACATTCCTGTCGAGTTCTGCTACTTCTTATTGTCTTGCACCAGCTTCTCTCTGCAAGGTCCCTGGAAGTATTTAAGTTCCCAACCGGCATATTGTGCATCTGAGTTTCCAGCTCCCAAATTACATAATTATTAATTGCTATTATATATGAGCAATTATACCGCTCTAGAAGGTGAGTTCCCTGAGAACAGGGATCTTACTGTCTTGTTGGCCAGTGTGTGTCCCCAGTACCTAGAGAAGTGACTGACACACAGTGAGTGCTTGTAAGTAGGAGTCAAGGGCTGAGAATACAGTTCAATGACAGAGCACCAGCCTCGCAAATGCAAGGTCCTGAGTTCAATTCCTGGTACCAAAAAATAAATAAATAAATAAATAAAATAGGAGTCAAATAAATGAGGGACTATTTCATAATCAACACGAGACCAGCCTCTTGCTGCTGCTCCAGCAGGTTTGGATGGCAGGGCTTAGAGAGGACAGAGAACTCACAAAAACTGAGTCCGGTGACCACTAACAAGGGTCTGAGGAGCAGGTTCTACCTGATCTAATTCCTTCTTCTGCCTCAACCTCTCCCCGTCAGCTTCCGCAATGATTCGCAGGAGCTTCCTCTCTTCTGCCTCTTGTTTTTCAATGAAGTGCTTGGTCTCCAAGGCTTGTTGCCTCAGCTTCTGCAGCTCAGCCTGAAAAACAGTGAATGATAAGGACAAATTTGATTCAGCAGCAGCACAAACCAGGAGCACTGGGTCTGGATTAGATGTGTGGTTGTGCCACTGCACTTCCTCCTAGTGTTTTATTTACTCCTGTTTGATCACTTGCACAAGCCAAACAAACTTACAACACATAGATGCACATTCATACTTACACACACACACACACACACACACACACACACACATACACACCATACCCACTACAGAGGTCATGCCTATTCTGAGTTATGCCCTAGGGAGAGTTCCACAGTGTCTCAGGGGCTTCGCTGATATGCAGCCACATTTCATCTCATACCAGGAGAATGCATTAAGAACAGCACAGGGGAGGGGTGGGGAAAGGACAGAAGAGGTCTCTATGTACACGAACTCCTGCAACGGTCCTAACATCCACAGTTTATTCACTACAAAGAAAAAGCCCATTGCGGGCAGACACTAAACCAGTTAAAGGAGACAACAACAGTGTCTACCTTACAAAACTTTCTGAAGGGACAGAAAGAACAGCATGGCATGAAAAGATTTTAGATCACAGTCCTAAGGGACTTCCAATCCAGACAAGATGATAAGACAAGTATTATGTAAATATTAATAAATCCAGGCAATAATTTTTCAGTGTCTTTTTTATCATGCAGACTGGGGATGGATGTTAAAACAGGTCAAAGGGGTCTTTGAACTGGGATCACCAGGGAAACTTCCTCAGAGTGCTCATGCCTCCTCTGATCCCCGAGGGCACGTGAAACTCATAGGGATAGTGGGGAAAGAAAATCCCTCTCTTCTAGTACATCCACTTCCAGTCCATAAGCATGTTTGTGACATAAGGTATCCCAGACACTGCAAACCCCTTCTCTCTATTTTATGAATGCAATTATGGAGACAAAGAAAAGCAAACGGCTTGCCCAAGGCCACAGAGCTAGTGAGCAGCAGAGCGGATTGGAACGAGGATCTTCCAGTGTCAAAGCATGTGCTCCCTCCATGGTCATAGTTCCAAGCCAAACACAGAGGATGAGTAAGACCGAGAACCCGCCTCCCACCAGCAATGCTGAGCACGGCCAATAATAGTGTGAACACGCTCTCTGCCTCTGTGGAGAGGGACTCAAAAGTACACAGGAAAGAGATTCTACTTCGGCCTGAAGTTGACAGGGAAGAATCAAATCTTGTGTCTTAGTTACTTTTCTTGTTGCTGAGACAAAACACTCAACATCCACAAGTTAAGAAAAGAAAGGTTTATTTAGTTCACAGTTTGTGGAGGTTTCAGTCCATAATCAGCTGGCTCCAAGGCAGGGTGGATGCCAGACAGGCATTGCAGAGGAGAAACAGTTTGTGGTGGGCAGAAGGTAACAAAGCAACAAGGAAGGGACCTTAACAGTGTCTTTCTGTCCCTTTTATCTTATCCAGGCTACTTAGGGCAGGTAGCTCTCACATCCCTAATCCTACTGCCCTTGAGCCTAGCACTGCACCATGAATCAATTCTAGCACCACAGACTCTCGATCCAGCCACCTCTAAAATAGCCCCATCTATGACTGCATGAGGCTTTGGGGGGGGATTCTAGACACAACCCATAACACCATGGCAGTGGGAAGATCTGGCTCACATGGAAGGGTATGTGTTGGGGGAAGGCATCCAACAGTCAGGCTGTGTGGGCAAAGGCAAGCAGACTGCACAGTAAATGGTGTATTCGCCAGACTGCATGACCCCACCCACCCAGGCAGCTGAACTGGAGTACTAGATAGGGAATGGCAGGAGGAGAAACTGCCAAACACCTGAACTGGGCTGGACTGGGAAGGACCTCACAGACCAAGCACCATAAAGAGTATGGAAAGGGGAACCAGAGTTACCATGCTAAAGAATGTCATCTCCGAAGAATATGTCTTTGAAGGATTCCACGCCTAGTGGCATGACAGAGCAGGTCAGCACAAGAAGAAAGGAATGAGGAGGAGCAACTCTGCTATCATTTATTCCTGGAATCACAGCGGAGATGACATACACCCCCAAAGTGTCAATGGCCTGAAAGAGGTACAATTGTTTTCCCTTCAAGTAAGTATTGGGCCCTTATGACCACTGATCCAGAAAAGGTTGCCAAGATGGTAGAAAACTCCAGAGGTGCCAGTGCCCACAAACCAACCTAACTCAGGCCAGGTCTGCTTCTAACCCATGAACACTAAAAGCCAAGAATCCCCCACCTCAGACTTACACAAACAGCAGGAGATGCTGGGCACCCAGTAACAGATGTGAAGTGTAACAAATTAATGCAACCCGCTGCTACGTAACCAAGAGTTTGCTTTATGACACTGTCCTTCTTCATTCATGAAATACATTTTGGTCTAGGGACAAAGAGAAAGAAGTGCTCACACAGATAAGAGCTGGTCTAGTATTCGCCCCTTAGTGGGGTTTGCCTGTTAGGAAAGAGAGTGAAGAACCAGCCTTGCTGTTTCCATAATCATTTAAGGTGACAGCAAAGACCGCAATAAAATACTTGTTTGGCTCATGCTTCCTTTACTGAAACTTTTATTTTCCCATAAATGCAGCACTTACTTCTCTGCTCCTAAGTGCCAAGAGCTGATCAGAATCCAGCGGCAGAACAAAATGAAACCCCTGTTATATTAAAATGCAATCAACAGCATGTAAAAGTATCTGTCTGAAATGTAAAACCGTTCATGCGTTTGGCAGTGCTGGGTGCTTTTTTCATAATATATCAAAATTGTGAGTGGTCTCCTTATGTCATAAATTTATGGGCTGTAAACAAGATGTGGCATTAGATGCTGGCAGCAAATGTTAACATCAACAGAATACCTTGGGTCCAGCACATTCAGCAGTTATAAATCGGAGCTGTCTCACCCAGCAGAGATAGCAACAACTGCTGCACACCCAAGGGCCCATCACGGAGAGTCTTATGTGGGACCTGGATGTGCTAAAGTGTTACCAGAGGCTTGAAATTTGTGACAAGGTGGGAGAACACAACTTTTAGTCAGCACCCCCATAATTACGCAATGTTACAGCATGTATTTATGGACTATATAGCATGTAACTTAGCTCTGGATACAAATCATATTCCAAAAGCCATTCTTGTGGGAGTCTCCCCAGTTCCTGCATGCACACTAAGAAGTCCTCTGGCCCTGAGAGTCCTTAGGCTTCCTCTCTCTCCCACAGATGACAGCTCCCAATTTGTGTCATGCTGCGGGGTCCACTAAGTGAAGGGATATGGTGCCCTGAAGCCAGTCCCTAATGTGATGCTGAGCTACGGACATAGGAAATTTGCTGCTGAATTATTCACCAAGAATCAGAGCACTGTCATATAGGTACAGGACGACCGGGAAATGACAGGACAGAATCAGGGACTTTTTAGAACTGCAAGACAGACCCTGAACAAGATGGCTCCATGAGGGTGGCCGGAAACAGGCTGCGGCAGGATGGGCAGAGGGACGCAGCTGTGGCCACGTCTACAGAGAATTATTGACATTCAGTCATAGCCGTAATGTACTGACATCATCGAGACTCCCAGGTTAAGAAAGCCAGGCAGCAACTGGAAAAGGACAAGTACCATGGGAGAAGCAAGATGTTTCCGTGGGGGCCGTGGAAAAGGGTGAGGATCCTACAGTTGTTTGTCTCAAGGCTTGAGAGGTAGTAAACTGCAGCGTCTTGGCCAGAGCCACCTCATGGCTTACCAAGCAGGTAAGGGCTAGTCCCTCTGGCAGGGATCTACACCCACATCGTTTTGCAGAACTCACAATAATAAGATAAACGTCTGTTGGAGCAAAGTTACTAGAAAATCTGCCCTTTTCCCCAGGATGTTGGTTTGCAAACTTCAGAGGCATGAAATCCACAGACCTATATGAAATGTGATTCAAATTCTTAGGTTAAGAAAGTCAAAAGGCCAAAACTCAACATTTGAGCTGTCATATTTTTCTAAAGAATATCAAACAGGCTTAATGATAGACCAAACTCATCCAGTTGGAGCACCACTGCAAGTCACCCTTGGATAACCTCAAATAATAAATCAAGCAGGCATCCTTTCTCTCTTCCTCATTCTTCCCTTAATGGGCGAGGCTGGTGGAAAAAGCATTACTAGTTCCACAGTTAACCCAAAGCAAAGCCTATAATCAGTGACCCGAAGCCATCCAGACCCAAGATTCCTCGTTTGGAGCTCACTCTCCAGAGCAGAAGCCTGTCAATCACCCTTCATGTCTACCAGCTGCCCGTTCTGCTGGCCCAGGGCCACATAACAGGACCCTACTACCCCTTGTTTTATGTCACTCTGATGCTTCTTGGGAGCTATTGGCACAGATGCCCGATGATGGAGAGCACAATTAAAATAGAAATTAACTAAGGTCAAACTCTAAGGAATCGGGACTAAGTGATCTTGTGCTTAAGGTATTGCTTATTTTAGAGCAGGCATTTGGAGAAGGTGATTAGTTTTACCCTGGACTCCGTTATGGGTAATAGTTTTTTTTTTTTTTTTTTTTCTTTTTTTGGCACTGGGAATCGAACTCAAGACCTTGGGTTTGCTAGGCAGGAGCTTGTGCCACTGAGCTATATCCACAGCACAGTTAGTCTTTTGAATAGAGCATCAGTCGGGAGGTAGAGAGCCAATGTCATCCTCCACATGAAAGAGATGATGCACCAAGCTGAATACACTGGACACACTAGCATGGTGCATGAACCCCCAATATAGCAAGCTTTATGAGATCCTTCTGACTCCCTCAGCAATAAATAAACCCCATCCCACCATGAGATTCCCATCCTTGCCACAAACCGCCCCCATAAAACTTCTGCACAAGAGGAGCCAGGCAAAGCTGAGGAGTATTTCTAAATTTTAGAAAATATATGTATATCTCTTTATATATAAATTAATATCAATAGAGAAGTTTCTAGTCTTTTTCTGTGATCAGCTGGAATGACAGAGATGAAAGTTTCACATAAATACAGCAATTACTGTGTCTTTTCTGTAAAGCACTTTTGTTAGAGTTTAATCTTTCTTAAACCAAATGTACCTTAAATTAATTTAATGTGGTGCTTCTATTTCCATGAAAACCTGTCATTAGGTGGCCCAAGTCATTATTAAATTGAGAGTGCACATTTCAATCCATGGCATCTTAGAATCAGGGAAATGTGGCATTAAATCTGTCCAAAGCTGGATACACATTTTGAAATCAGAACCGTCTTTGAAAGCTAATATGTGTGAAACCAAGGTGCCCAGCTCTCTCTGTATTATAAACAGTTCCTACAAACGGCTCTTAAGTACCCCTGAGTACTCTGCATAATAAAAGTGTTATCATCCTCAGAAGTTCTTCTTTGAATTATTTGGTCAAATGAGGTAGAAGGGAAATCTATTGGATTGAATGAGAAAAAGGAAACGACAATAGGATTAATGATTTGACTGGTAAAACATATTTGGGTGGGGGATTTGAAAAGCTGTAATTATTTGCTATGTATTCTTAGAATGAGTCCTTATGTTAGTGGACATAATATACTCTAACCAAGTGTCTTCAAAAGAGCATGGCTAGCCACGTGGGGGTGCACACCTGTAATCCCAGCCCTCTGGGAGGATCACAGGTTTGAGCCCAGCCTGGGCAACTGAAAGACTTAGTGAAATCACGTCTCAAAATAAAAATTAGGGGCTGGGGATTTAGCTCAGCGGCAAAGCGCCTGCCTGGCAAGCGCAAGGTCGTGAGTTCAGTTCCCGGTACCGGAGAAAAAACAAAAATACATATATATATAAAATAAAGAATTAAAATTAAAAAGCTAAGAATGTAGCTCAGTGCAAAGGTCCTGGGTTCAATCCTCAGTATCACAAAAATAAAATAGAATGGTATGTCCTGGTAAGATTTATGGAGACAGAGGTGACAACTGGAGGACACCTGCAAAGTTCTGTGGCCCACAGGGGCAAAGTGACCTGCGAATTCTGCTGAAGGCAAAGCAGGTGAGGACAAAGCTCTGCCATTCAATGCTCCTGCAGGCAGAAAAGCCATGTGCATGGGAAGGAACAATGATTAGGAGGAGAGAGATAAAGCCTCACCTGTCAATGGCCCAGGAAGGAGCAGTTTGGGGCACTTGGATGTGAGCAGGGGCTGGACTTGTGAATGGGAGGGGACAGTAGTGACTGTGCAAGCTCAAAGACTTGGGTTCTGCCAGCCTGCTCGGTTCGCATCCACGGATGCACGGTGGCCCTCCTAAATGAGGTCAGCGCTGCACACTGGCACCGCCCCCTCCCCATCCCTCTAGCAGCGAGGCCTGTAAGGAACCAGAACAAGGAGGGCAGAGCCTCCCTCCTGCAACTCCTGGGGGTGGGTTAGGGAAATCAGCAATGCAGGCCACAGGCAGCCTCCACCGCTCCCACCCCGCACTGCCTCCGGGGAGAGGGGTGCCTCTAGACTAAGGTCTCTACCTTCAGGGTTTCCTTTTCCTTTTCTATTCGCTGCTGCTCCAAATTCAGCTTCACCAGTGCAGACTCTTTGGCAGAGATCTCTTCTTTCAGCTGATCTACTTGATGGGTCATAATCTTTAACTTTCTCTTCATTTCTGTAATCTCGTCCTAACAGAATGAAAGGGGAACATCGGAAAGTGAATTCAGTAAGCATCGCTCTCCCTGTGGAAGTTCAGTACAGTCTCAAGAGGCTTTAAGGGAAGCTTTCTAAAAACAACGGACGCCTGATCAATTATGACGGGCTGTTCCTTTTCTTTTCCTGTGCCCATCAACCTCAAAGGATTTGTAGCAATAACAAAATAGTCTCGTGAGACTCACACAAACTATACATAATGCCTATCTCACACACACTGCATTCCTCATTGAACTAAAGGGACTGAAAGCACACAAATATAACTTAAAGATTTCAAAGCAAAGTTCTGCAGTCACAGTACTGTTGCCCTCTGAGTCTTGCCAGCCAGGAGCAGTTTTAAAACCTACAAAGAGGAGAAAGCCAATTCTACAGAATAATTAAAAATAGGATCATGCTCTCCATATGCTGTTACCCTGGGTCATTTCCATTTCCAATAACCTGACAGTCCTAGGTACACTGATCTTTCTCGGGTGAATTTCACAGGCTTTCTTTCTTGATCTATCCTAAACCCCGCCGTTAGGACAACAGAAACTGCTTTACATCCAGGGTGGAGGGAAACCACGGTGTAAAGACAAACGTCTTGTTTACCTGCGCCTCAACCAGATTTTTGCTACACAGGTTCCTGTCAGACCTTACAGCTTCATACAGGTTCTGTTGATGTTTTAATTTAGTCTCCGATTCAGCAATCTTTTTCTTGTAGTGAAAAATCTGCATTTCACGAACTTTTATATCTTCCATGTTCACAAGGAGCTGGAGGAGAAAGAAGAATTTGGATATGGTTGAACAGCCGGGACACCCGCACTTACAGCCTCAGGACAAATGGAGGTTTCATCCGAGGGCGGCTGCTGGAGATGCCAGCAGTCAGACCATCTCCCTGTGACTGTAATCACCAAAGTATGACACAGAAATTCAGCTGGGCCGATAAGGGGCGAGCACGTATTTTATCTATGCCACAGTTCTGCTCAATTATAAAGGCTGACCGTGGTTATTTTGTGATCATGAGAAAGAGGAAAGAAGAAAAAGAGATTCTTTCAGCTCTGGAAACCTCTCCTGACCACTCCTCCCCCTCCAAAAAAAACCATAGGCTTAAATGGATCTTAACACAAAGCACTAAGCACTAAGAAAGGTAAACTGGCTGTTTAGACACTGGCTGCTTTATCAAGTTGACCATGAGAAAGAAAAACGGCCTGTGGAAGAAAAGTGACCTTGGATAGTATCCACCGTGACTCTGTCTCGCTCGTGTCAAACTGTCAGGGGAGGGCAAAGAACTCAGAAAAATGCAATCTCTGGTGTGATCAAAAATGTGGTGAATACTTACCCACTTTGGGAAGTCTACTTTTTATTTTTTCAATTTTCCATTAGTACATGTTGGCAGTACATAAAGATTACATTTATTGTGGGGAGTTGGTACGTGAACATAACACATCTTAATGTTTATTTTTGTACCCTACCCCTCCCAGCCCTCCCTGCTTTTATGTTGCTATTTATATTTTTAGGTTTCTCATGTAAAAGAAACCATGTAATATTTAAACTTATGTGTCTGATTTATTTCACTTAACATTATGGTCTTAAGACACACCCATTTAGCTACAAATGCCCCAAGTTTATCCTTCTTTATGTGAGAATAGCGCTTCCTTGTGTATAAATACCACATTTTGTTTATCTGCTCATCTGTTCATGGACATATAGGATGTTTCCAAGATTTAGCTGTTATAAATTGTGCTGCTATAAACATGGGTATGAATGTAAACCTGTAACAATATGGTTTTAACCCTTTTGGGGAGATCCTTAAAAGGAAAATACCTGGGTCAAATGGAATTTCTATTTTTAGTTTATTGAGAATATCCATACCGATTCCAATAGTGGTTGTGCTAGTTTATCTATTCCCAGCAACAAAGTAGAAGGGTTCCTTTTCTCCCACGTCCTGGCCAGGATTTGTTATTATTTGATTTCTTGATGATAGCCATCCTTTCTGGAGTAAGATGATGTGTCAATGTTGTTTTTGTTTCATTTTGTTTTGTTGAGCCAGGTCTCACTTGTAGTCTAGGCTGATCTTGAACTCACTATATAGCCCAGTCTGGCCTCAGACTCACAGCAATTCTCCTGCCTCAGCCTCCCAAGGGCTGGGATTATAGGCATGTGCCTGCATATCAATGTTGTCTTAACTTGCATTTCTCTAATGGCCAGCAATGTTGAACATTTTTTCATATATTTACTGGTCATTTGTACTTCTTCTGAGAAGCGTCTATTCATTTCAGTTGCCCATTTTTTTTACTGGATCTTGTTCATTTTGGGGGGTTCTAATTTTCTGGAGTTCAGTGTATATTCTAGATGTTAGTCTTCCATCCAAGGAACAGCTGGCAAATATTTTTTCCCATTCTGTATGTTGTCTCTTCTCTCTGTTGTTTGTTTCTTTTGCTGTGCTGAAGCTTTTTATTGACCCTCAGCATTATTCCTTGTGCCACTGAGATTCTGTTCAGAAAGTCTTTGTCTATGCCTATATCTTCAAGAGTTTTACCTATTTTATCTTCAGCACCTTGTACAGACACTCACAAAAGAGGACTTCCAAAAATACTTTAGAACGTAGAAGAACGATGGGATAAGTATATTTGAAGTAAGGGGGAGGATTTTGAGAGAGATCAATGGCAATATGTCTTTTATTGTAAGAAATTTTTAAAATTTAAACAGTTTCTGGTCACAATTCCTCTGGGAAGGAGAAAAGGCCAACTTGATCACCTCCTTTTTTGCAAGGATGAAAAACCAGGGCCTGAACTAACAGTGTGAGTCAGTTCTTATCAACAAGCAATTCACGCATAGGAATTATGCAGCCATGACTCTTAGCTGCCATCTCCACAGAAATTGATTTTTCAGGACAAATGTCCTTTTAAAACTTTCTTAAGAAAAGCTTTAGTCAGTAAAACAAAGCAATAAAACTATGGTATAAACAACAGCCATAACATGTAAGGAGAAAATGCTTAAGATTTCACGGCATTTTAGTAGATATCTTTTGACAAAAGCTTACAATGGAAGGTAACAGAGCAAGGTGGAAAGGAATAGGAGGGTAGGGACATATGTGGAAGGTGGGGTTGACTCTGAAGGTTCCTCACAGCAGTGACATTTGGCCGAGAACCTAGCAGTTTGGAATAAGACCTTAGATTTTGCTCTGCTGGTGTTCACTGTGATTCAAGTGTGAGCTACTTCTGAGCCACAGGTCCCCTCTACGAACTCTGTGGGAAGCACAGTTGAATTAGCACCCCAGGAAATACACTTTGAGGACTCGGGGTGCAGCTCAGTGGTAGAGCACTTCACTTCCATGGGTGAGGCCACAGGCTTGATCCTCAGCACCATCAAAACTCTTTTAAAGAATAATAAATACTAAAAGCAAGTCTGAGAAGCCCTGTTCTAATGTTGTGAATTGGAGACCATAATGACTGCTGTTTAAAACATCTGTCCTTTATCTCTTCATATGTGCATCTTTCAGAGTTTTGTTACAGATATTTAAAGAAGGATGGGATTACATCACTTTCAATATATATTATTTTATACTACTTTTCTTATTGGATCCATTGGCTTGATACACTTAGTAATACATTTTTTCCTTTAAAAATATTTTAATTTCTTTATACTTAGAACCACATGCCCTAATTTAAAATATATTCATATATGTGGCAGGCACATTTCTTTTCTTCATTACTTGGGTTTTGCTTTTCCCTTTAACCTTCATCGACCCAACTACATATACTATAATCTGGTAAATTTTAACAATCCAGTATGTCCCCTTCCATATTTTTCTTTCATTTTGCATATGTTATCTGAGTCTATAAACATAATAATAATAGCTTACACTCAGCATGCACTTCCTATGTATCTGGCACTTTACCTGTGCTAACTCATTTAATCTCCCCAAATTCCTAGGAGATGTGTATTATCACCCCAATTTTACAGGAAAGGAAACAGAGGCCAAAAAAAGTAATATTTACAAAGTTATTCGCACAGTAAGTATACAACTACAGGAATTAGCTTTCCTTTGTTTTTTGTTTTGCTTTGCTTTTTAGATTTTGTTTTTATTTTTCAGGCAAAGGGGGTCTCGTTACACATACTTTTATGCACTTTGCCTCTCATCACTCAATAATGCCTTGTGGTAATCATCTGAAACAGTTTTCATTTGTTCTCTCTCCAGGCTGTGTAACAGCGCACAAGCCGAATGTACCATCACGTACTCAACTATGCCTCTCCCTGAGCAGGAGCTGTGTGCACCCTTTCTGGCTCTGAAGCATGCTGCGGTACACATTTCCTCCGTGCGTTCTCTGGCACTGGTGCTTTTGCTTCCATGGGACGGATTCCCAGGAGCAGAATACCTGGCTCAAAAGACATACGTATTTTAACTTCAATGGATATTGCTAGATTGCGCTCCAAAATGGCTGTAATACTTTACATTTCCACACCAGCAACAGTTCTCATAATAGAAAACTGCGCTTGTTGGTTCAGAATAAACCCGCTTTGGTCATCCCGGATGATGCTTTTAATGTTCTGTAGAATTTCGTCTGATGACATTTCTTTAGGATTCTGCATACATATGCTTACGTGACATAGGCCTGTGGCTTTCTTTTTAGTTCTATTTTAATATCCAAGTTTCTACTAGTTTCATAAAGAGAAGTGCCTTTCTGTTCACTCATTCAGTCATCCATTTATTCATTCATTCAGTGAACATGTACTGGCCAGGAATGGTGGCACACGCCTGTCATCCCAACACTCAGTACAAGGGAGGCTCATTGCAAGCTCAAGGTCAACCTAGGCTACATAGTGAGTCCAGGCCAGCCTGAACTACATAGCAAGGCCCTGTCACCCTCCCCACCAAAAACTCAATAAACATGTACTGAGGATCTGTCGGTGGCAGGCATGGTAAAAGTGTGATTGTTACAAAGAAGAATAAGACAGAGTCCCTGTGCTCAACCTTATCTCTACAGAGTGACCTCTGCACAGAAGGGATAATCAGCGAGTAGATGCAGCCAGTTACTGAGATAGCACAGGGTGCTACTGGAGAATCAAAAACCATAGGCTCATGGATAGGTTCTGAGGATGAAGCTTCGCCTCTTACTAGAGCAGTTAATATTAGAATCTGACCTCTCAACCAAAGACTCACCCCAGACCCCACAACCTCTCCCAGGTCTGGAATCTTTATGTGTCATTGTCATAGTTTGGGGTTTTGCAAGGGGAACAATATAACACAGGACATATATTTTATAAGATTATCTATAATAGTCACCCAAAGAATCATATACAAAAGAGAGTGCAGGAAATCTGTCCACACACTAAAGAGCAAAGAATCTAGCCAGGGCCTGGATCCCACAATAATGTCCTGCATGAGTCCAGATGAAGACCTAGAGCTCATAACAATGCCCCCCACGAGTCTATCTGGAGGTCTAGAGCCCACCACAATGTCTCATGCTGGCCTGTTTCACAGATCTGCGCTGGGAAGGCCCAAAGTTGGCAGTAGAAGCTAGGAAGTCTGTGCCAGCAGGATGAAGGATCTGTGCTAGCAGGCTGAGGAATCTGCACTGGAGGTGAAAGCAACACTCAAAATTAAGAACCAGAGCTCTTCTAGAAAGTACCACAGCCATCCTCAGCGACAACAAGGTCCCAAGCTCCTCTGATAAGGAGGCCAGCCAAGCTCCCATCAGGAAAACCAGTGCAACAACCTTCTCCAGGAGACTGAGCAGTGCACCATCTTCCCCTCTGGGTCGAGGGAG